TAGTTTTTAACTTCTTGCTGTTGTTGTTCAGTGCCACCAAACTGGTTCTGACTCATAGCAACCATGGATAAGATTTTTGAGGAGTAGCTGGTGAGTTTGAACCACCTACTTTGCAGTTCAAATCGACCTTGCAATCCAGTGCTTTATTCTACTGCACCACACCAGGACACCCGGTTTTTACTTGGGTGGTGCAATTTTACATTTTACACAATAAAATTTAAAATTGTTATAAAAATCAAGAGAAAGGAGGTTATTCACAGGAAAAGAAATTCAAAAATAGTAATTATATGAAATCACACTATGTACATAATAAGATAACCTAAATATTGATCTGCAATGTCCATAATTTTAGATACAGAAAAATCTGTGGCTAAAACTCTGCTTAAGTTTTTTTTTTTTTTCTTTCTTTAATTATCAGATGGTTCAAGTCATCCTATAATTCAAAAAGTAAAGAGAATGAGAAAACACAATCTTGTTTTCCTGAGTACATTGTTTAGGGGAAGGAGTATTCATCAAATGCTGTAAACAAAACCTGTGCCAATTATCCTCCCTGTTGCTCATTACTTACAAATTTGCTTCACTGACTGTCAGATTCATACAAACCAGTTCCTTCCAGGAATTCCCCAAACTTAGTTTTTTAAATTGTTCTAAATGTTGGTTTGTGAGAATGGTCTTCCCAAATAAGGTTTTAAAATTTCAAACTTTCAATTATAGTAACATTAATGTGCTGCTAACACAAAAAAGAGATATTTACTAGTACACCAATCTGTTCTACCTGTCTTCCTGCTGATATTGTAACAGGAAGCATCAGAAAGAGGCCAAAAATCTCCTCACACTGATGACTGAAAATCCCTCATTAGCAATTGATAGGTAAATATATTTTTGTAATAATTAAACAGTCATACTGTGATGATTCACTACAATTGCACTCCATTCAACTTTAAATGACAATGAGATAAGCAATTACTATTTTCCAAATAGCTAATTTTAAATAGATGCATTCAGGATCAATATTTAAATGCTTTTGGTTTTAATATGCAACCTCAAGTTCAAACATCCACAAAAAACTGATCAATTCCTGAGGTAACAAATATAAGCATCTATAGTTGTGCATGGTTAATAAATCAGTGATTTAGTGTGGTGTTCATGGTGGAACTTGAGATTTTCTTATAATAGAAGTTCTTACATTCTTCCCTTATGGTTTTCTGTCTCCAGGTCTTTGCACATGTCATTGTAATTATTTGCTTTGTTGCAGAAACTTAAGATTTTGTTACATATTTTTTACTATCTAAAGGTAATAGTTACATACTAAATAACATTGTGCCTCACCATACAGCCTGACAACTTAGAGACTATGAGGGAAGACAACAAATAAAGCTAAATACAAAAATACTGGAAGGTTTGATCAACTTTCTATAGCAACCATCATGATTAGGCTGGAGAGAAATAATGCTAAAACAAAACAAAATCAAAGTAAATGCTTCCTTTCTTGCTCATGCACAGTTTCACAACTATTACTTAAGCACAAAGTCCAGGATGTGTATAAGAATGTGTATTTACTGGAGTATGATGTGTATATATTGGAAGGTACACCACTGTATTAAAAATGGAATTAGATGCTTTTTCCTATGTCAATTCCAAGAAAAAGTTATAGTAAAAATGATAATAGTTGAACCTCTGAGTAAATCTCCAAGATAAATGAGTTTCCATGGGTCTTGTGTAATTTTCATAAAAAGGAAACATAGCACAGAGAGTTGACAGAAGCACAGAGGAAGGTGTGGACAATCAAAGTAAAATGATTGAGAGCATTTGTTTGGAGTGAGCATACCAATTCCTAATTACAGGACTGGTGGTGGTGATTTGCTGTGGAGTTGCTTCTGACTTATAATGACCCTACATAGGATTTCCAAGGCTGTAAATCTTTACGGAAGCAGAAAGCCTCATCTTTCTCCCACGGAACAGCTGGCAGTTTCGAACTGCTTATGAGGTTATGAGGCTAGCAGCCCAACTCATAACCACTACATTGCCAGAGCTCCTTAATTATAGGGCTACAGTCTGCTTTTAAGGTGGAGGGTCAGAGAAAAAGGAAGACCCCCAGCTAGATGGGTTGACAAAGTGGCAGCATCAATGGGCTCAAGCATCGCAATGATAGTGAGGTTGGCCCAGGATAGGGCAGTGTTTCGTTCTGCTGTGCATAAGGTCGCTATGAGTCGGTACCGACTCGATGGCACCTAATAACAACAACAACAAGTCTGCTTTTTGTTAAGGTTTAACCCACACTGAGGAGTCCTGGTGTGGCACTGTGGGTTATTGCACCAGACAGCAAAGCCATTTGAACCGCAAGGTTGGTGGTTCAAGCTCACCAGCTGCTCCTTGGAAACCCTATACAGGGTCATTATTGGTAAGAATTGACTCAACGGCACTCAACAACAACAACAAACCACACTGAAGACTGTAGTGTTTGAGCTTCATCAGTAATGCTTCAATCCTTCTTTCCTTTCAGCAAGTATGGTTGTGTCATCTTCATACCTCATGTTGCTAATGAGCTTTCCTCTATTCCTGTTGCAGTGTTCTTCATATTGTCTAGATTCTTGGATTATTTGCTTAGCCTAAAGAGTTAATAAGTATGATGAAATGATACAACCCTGACACACACATTTCCTGATTTTAAACCTCAGAGTATTCTCTTGTTCTATTTGACCAATTGTTTTAAGTCTATGTATAGGTTCTATATGAGCACAATTAAGTGTTCTGTAATTCCCATTCCTCTTACTCTTATCCATGACTTACTATCATCCACATAGTCAAATGTCTTTGCATAGTCAACAAAACCCAGATAAACATCGTTCTGGTGTTCTCTGCTTTCAATCAAGATCCAGCTGACATCCACAGCGATAACCCTCACTCCATGTTCTATTCTCAATCTGGGTTGAAAATCTGGAAGTTCCCTGTTGATGAATTACTGCAATCATTTTTAAATTAATGTATGATATTAATGATGCGTCTTGAAGATTTCCTCATTCTGTTGGATCAACTTTCTTTGGGGTAAGCATGAACATGGTTTTCTTCCAGTCAACTGGCCAGGTAGCTATCTTCCAAATTTCTTGGCATAGGTGTGTTAGCACTTCCAGCATTGCATCTGTCCAGTGAAACACCTCAATTGAGATTTCATTACTTCCTGGAGCCTTGGTGTTTGCCAAAGCCTTAGTGGAACTTGGATTTCTTTCTTTACTATCAATTCTTGATCATATGCTACCCCATGAAACTGATGAACATCAACTAATTCTCTTTTGGTACAGTAACTGTGTATTCTTTCCATCTTCTTTTGATGCTTCTTGCATCATTCAGTATTTTGCTTTTAAAACTCTTCAATATTATAACTGAAGGCTTGAATTTTTTTTCAGTTTTTTTCAGCTTGAGAAATATCAAGCACTTTCTTCACTTTTGGTTTTCTACCTCCAGGTCTTTGAACATTTCATTATAATTTTTAACTTTATCTTCTTGATCCTCAATATAAGAAAACAAAAAAGCACATAAAAACAAACAAAAAGCCTTCATCAAATTCATCACAACTGGACTAATAAACATGATCGTGATAATGGAGTAAAGATTGACATTGTTAAGGATTTTGTTTCACTTGGATCCACAATTAATGCCCACGAAAACAGCAATCAAAACTGCTGCAAAAGATATATTTAAAGCGTTAAAGAGCAAAAATGTAACTTTGAGGACAAAATGTGTCTGACCCAAACAATTGTATTTTTATTTCATGTGTATATGAAGGCTTAGTAATGAATACTGAAGATGAAGGAATAATTGATGTCTTTTTATTATAGTGCTGGAGAAGAATATTAAATATGACTTGACTGCTAAAGGAACCAACACATTTGTCTTGGAAGAAATATAGTCAGAATACTCTTAAAAGTGAGGATGATGAGAATTAATCTCATGTACTTTGAACATGTTATCAGGAGGGACCAGAGTCAGTGAAAAAGAGGAAGACCCTCAAGAAGATGGATTGACATAATGGTTGCAAAATTGGACTGAAATACAGCAAATTTCTTTGAAGGTGGCGCAGTACTGGGCAGTGTTTTGTTTCTGTTGTGCAGAGGGTCTCTATGAGTCTAACTGACTTGACCCCTAATAGCAACACAGCATCTAGCTGGGAAAGATACAGGATCAGATAGCTTTAGGAACGTGGAAGGAACTGGGACCTGGCCATGGTCCTGAAACAAAACAACTTGCTGTTTTCTGACTCCAAGCTTAAGCACACCACATCTGTGTTTTAAACTGTAGTTAATTAAGCAAATACCCAATAATCTTTGTGTTCAAAAGATAATGGTGAAAGTTTTTCTTATGATAATTCTTTATAATGTACACCTCCACCTTCCCAACAATTTCTGCTCAGGTGTTGCTAATTTCAAACTTAAACGGCATTCTAATATAACTCAAATGAGGGAACCAAGGTGCTAACAAACTCACTACACTGGGATTCTACAGGAAACTGACACTTAACAATCCTGATTCTTGTCTGCTTTTCTGTTAAACTCAGATTGATAATCATGACTAAGAGAAAGACATCCTGGGAGAGGAAAGAGAATTGTATTGGAAGATGAACCTATAATCTAGAAAGCCTTCAAACTCTAGAAGGATAGGGTGTCAATACATTGATAAAGACAATTACCCATTTTCACTTCATAAAATTACAACCAATTCCCTAAAGAGGTGCCAAAATATAAGTCCCACAATGAACACGGGCATTAGTCTTCAGGTTTTTTTCTCGAGCCCTTTTAAACATACGAAGTCAACAGAGAGAACTAAACCAATCCACAATGTTAATACAAGCAGAACCATGGGAGGGAAAAAAAATTCTCCTCACAAAAGACAATTAGGCAAGAGAAGAAGGAAATTCACTTTGGTGGGAAGGTGGAAGAAAAAGTAACAAATACGCAAAATACCGTTGTCCAAAAATATGAAACTCGTGTAAGTGCGAGACTTACGTGTTCCGTCAAAACGGGTGGCGATGGTGTCGAGGAAGGTGTTCTGGGGCGCCAGTAATCCTTTCATAACCGGCATTTTTCCACCGTAGTATGAAATTCTCCATCAAAGTTTGTCCGGAAGGATGGTTGGTTTGAGAGGAAAGTGCCAAGAAAGGAGAAAGCGAAGCGTGAGGACGGCAGAGGAGAGGGGCCAAGGGAGGTGTTGGGACTGATCTAGGGAAGTGGAGGATGAGGAGAGAGGGAGCGAGTTGCAACCACTGCTGCCCCGGCGAGCGCTCGCTGAGCCCTCCCCACACCTCTGGGCTCAGCCCGGAGCAGGCTCCCTCTCCCGCCCCATCCACCTCAGCCAGCTGCCAAAACCCTCACCATCCCTCCGCGGGCGGCACCTCCCGCTAGGCGATGCCACGCGGTGCCTCACCCTCTACTTCGCTGGCCCGAAAAGAGCCTGCGGTGGCCCGAAGTGCCGCGCCCTGACCTAAAGCTGTTGAGGTCGCTGAGGACGGCACTCAGAACTGGGCGAGGCTTGGTGGCGCTAAACCTCCTAGTCTCCGGGAAACGCTAGCGAACGAACACGACTCCCACCCCCCAGGAGCCAGTGAACAAAGACCCCTTTGTTCAAGCTAGGTCCCTCTCCCGGGGAGCCCGGAGTACCGTGGGTGTGGTGTGGGGGAAGAGGAGGAGACTGGTCGGGGCAGGTACTCGGCCTCCGCTTTGAATTTAGGAGGGGGTAGATCTCCCAGTGGCGTCCAAAGGAGTAGAGGTTTGGGGCGGGGGTGAGGGGGGTTAGGGCTTTCGTGGAGGTAGTCCTCTTCCAGCATACCTGTCATTACCAGCGTCCGAGACTCGGAGCAGGGTAGCCCCGAATTAGTTGGACGGTCGCCCTCCCCAGTTACCCGTGCCTGTTAGCAGGTGAACTGACCCAAAGAGCCCAGGTTTTCCACCTGTCTCCAGGGCGCCAAAAAGGGGGGCTAAAGTTCCCTGTCCAATTGTCATTGCTTCCCCCAAAGCCATCGCAAAATAAAATTTAACACTTTTTCATGGACAATTGATGGTTTTCCATTCGTCGGTGAAATGTGAATAATTTCTAGAAAAGTTTGCTATTTTATTAACACGTAAAACACACAGCAGTAAAAACAACAAGGTTGCCTTGCAGAAATAGCTTCAACAAACATCCCCAGCCTGCTTTCCCTAATACCCTCAAGGACAAGGAGCCCCACAAGACAACCACCTCCACGTAATACACCTGGTTGGGGCCCTGGAACTGCAAGTGTCTCGGAAAATGAAAGCGGTCTCTCCCTGCCCACCGTTCCCTGGCCAACGCGGGGACTCCCTCTCTTCCATACTTCGGCCGGGAAAGCCTGGCCCATTGTCTGGGGCGCAGTCTTGCGGGAATGGACTAGGACACACACAGAATCGTGCAGATTTGCAGAAGTCCTGCAAAAAATCTTGGAAAGGAGGGAGGTGTGGAAGTAAAGTTGAGAATCCAGGGTCAGAAAAACAAACGCAAGTTCAGGTGAGGGTGCACCCGGAAGAAGAGGAGGGGAAAAGTGAACAGGTGTGTGAGCCCTGACGAGGGGCAGCTCAGATAACCGCCGCCCCGGAAGCTCGGGTGTGGCCGAGGCGGCATCAGGGCCCCCACTACAATTGGTGAAGGGGGGAGCCTTGTTTGAATTCTCCCGGCTCGCGGGGCGTAAGGGGGGACCCTGCCGCTTTCGTCACGGATGCCCGAGACCCTGGGAGGGCGGGAGTGTAAGGAGGGAGGGAGGCAATCCCCCTCACTCCGCCCCCGGTTCTCCTTTATAGTGATGCACTTCCTGTGGCTGAGGATTCCCTTTGTGTTGAAATTCATGAAGATCTGGCCTCACCACACAGCTAGGGAGGCGGGGGAGTGCCGGCTCGGACTGTGGCGTCAGTAGGGTTGGTGATACCCACTATGTCAACGCCTACGGTCACAGGCCACCCCTTCCCCAATGGGCGCGTCCGGTTGGGCAGCGGCCCTCTCCGGTCATTTTGGTATCAACACCTCTGGCAATATCAATATCAGGGGGTGTGCTGCAAACCCCACCCCATTCCCCAACTCCCTACTAACGTCCCTGCGGGAGGGGAGGGGATTCCTGAGTGGGTGGCACTAGGCGGCCTTCCCAGAGGTCGCTACCTAGGAAGCCTAGGCTTTCTCAGCTCCTCAGCCTTCACCCCTACCCAAACCAGCTGCTCTTTGAGGAAGTTGTTGTCCCCTACGCAGCAGGCAGAGCAAAACTGCGGGAAGCTCCAATGTCTCCCTCTCTGGCAGAACAGAGAGAGCGAATGAGAGAGAGAGAGAGAAAAAAAAAAACAAAAAAACAAAAAAACTGGTAGCCTTTGCTTCTGCTTGGGTGGTGTAACATGTTCCATAAAACTCTGGCTGTTGCTGTCGCTGTAAAAGCCATAGAAACGCCTCCCTTGAAATAGCATGAACTTCAGCATGAAATATGTTAGTTGTAAGCCACGATTCAGATTCATAAAATTTGCACTGTAGCTGTGTGTGGAGTGTGCGCCTCTGTTAAAACTGTTTCCATAAGACATTACTCTGTGTTGTCAAATGCATGAAATTGACATTTATAAGAAAATAGCAACTGAAAGAGAAAGCCTAGATTTTGACATTTATTTATTTTATGACATTGTCATAAGTTCCCCTACATCACCTATGTGTCAGACACTGTGCTAGATATGAGAAAATCACTGTAATAAATTCTAAATTTAGGATTTAATTGTAAACTCTACGGGCCATTAGTAGCTTGACTTCATACCTCTATGTCTTTTTGTCCATAGTGGAGTCCTTCTTAATGAAGACTACCGTCACTACTCTTGTGTCTCTCTGTTGTTAAGTGGCCTCGAGTGGTTCCTACCCATAGCCATCCTATATAGGGTTTCCAAAGACCGAATGGTAATCTCGAACCGATGACCTTGCAGCTCAAACCGACTTTGCAGTCCAGAGCATTAACCTGCAGCACCACACCATGGACTCCAGGATCTCTCTAAGTCTACCTTAATCAAGGACCTAATTCTCCTAAGTGATCATGGCATACATGAGTCCAAGCTGCAACATTAAAACATGATCTCAATGAGAGTTTAAGCATAATAATTCCTCCTTAGACATATTTTCACTGTAACCAAACACAAAACTTTTTTCCTTTAAGAATCTAGCTGGCCCCAGACATTGACAGAAAAGAACCTTCACCCATTTGTTATAGACAGAGATGTGGTTGTTTTCTATGGCCTTGACAAGAATAAAGATAACCATATGCAATACCATAAATCATAAATGAAAGGTCCATATAAAAAGATTCATAGTCACAGAGGAAGAGATCATTTCTTTGCAAAATCTCTAAACTTGGATCAAGGTGTCCCATAACACATACTTCAGGTCTCTGTAGGTAATACCAACTGTGGTGTACTGAATTATTTAATATATCTTCTAGTCATAATCTTTGTAAACTCCAACAAAAATGACTTTTTTTCTGATGGGTCTGAAGAAGAGAAAGTGAGAGAAGATGCCGATGGATTATATGATTCAGTTGTAAGTGACTGTTAACAGAGCTAACTGTGATTGTAAAACTTGGAACTCTAAAGTGGGTGTAAAATGAACCATCTCAGAAGCAGGAAGGGAGTACTTCAAAGAAGTACTGCCATCAAAGAAGCGAGGAGCTCATCCTTTAGGCTCTGAGATCCCTGTGCATTGAAACTCCTTGACCCAGGGAAAAGGATGTGACTTTGGAGGGAGTGGCAGAGGAGCAACTGCAGCAGAACCAAGGGCTAAAGCACCAAACAGAGTAGTGGCCTTCACAACCCATGAAGCAAGTAAAGCAAAGTGCTTTTGGGCTGGAGGTTTGCTTTCAGAGTGGGGTAGCTCCAGGCACTTAATTGGGAGAGCTAGGTTTGCTGACCCACTAATCTAGAGTCAAGTCCCTTCAAGCATATGGTGGAGTGGTATATCCTGAAGGCATTTATCAACAGCCCTAAAAGAGCCTTGTAACATTGCTGGAGTTCTGGTGTGGCACTGTGGGGAAAGCACTAGACTGCAAGGTTGGTTTAAACTGGAAAGTTGGCAGTTCAAGCTCACCAGTTGCTGCTTGGCAACCCTAAACAGGGTCGCTATGAGTTGGAAGCAACTCAAAAGCACTTAACAACAACAACAACAGCAACATTGCTGGAGCAGGTCAGAAGCCAGGCCAAGGGGCCAAGGGCCAGAGAGAGGCCTGCCCATGGGCACAGCTAAGAAGCTGACCTAACTGGAAAAAATGTGCCCTGAGTATTTTACAATCCTGAATTATAATCTGTTAGCTTCCCTAATAAATCCTGTATCTGTAAGTATGGTGACTGGGTTCTGTATGGCCACTGCATTGACTTATCAAACCTAGATGAGAAGTTTGATATAGGCCTAGAGATTATCACTCACTGATGACAAGAAATTTGGAAAACACTTACCTGGTCAATTGATTGGAAAAGATCCTTATCTGTGCCCATTTCAATGAGAGGTGACCCAGCAAGATGCAGAAATCATAGAACATCATTAATATCACATGCAAGTAAAATTTTGCTGAAGATAGTTAAAAAGCAATTGCAGCAGTAAATTGAGAGAGAACTGCCAGAAATTCAAGCCAGATTCTGGAAAGGAACTGGAACTAGGGATATCATTACTGATATCAGATAGAGCTTGGCTGAAAGCAGGGAATACCAGAAAGATGTTCACTTGTGTTTTATTGCCTGCAAATTTGACTGTGGATCATAACAAACTATGCTCATTGTGAATAATGGGTATTCCAGAACACTTAATTGTGCTCATGGGGAATCTATACATACACCAAGAGGCAGTTGCTCAAATAGAACAGTTTACTGAATGGTTTAAAATCAGGAAAGGTGTGTGCCACGATTGTATCTTTTCACCATATTTAATTCAACCTGGATACCAAGCAAATAATCTGAGAAGATGGAGTATATGAAGAAGAATGTGGCATCAGGATTGGAGAAAGATTAATAGCAACCTGAAATATACAGATGATATACAATCAATCTTGCTTTTTAGAAGCCAAGAAGACTTTCAGTACTTATTGATGAAGATAAAAGCTATAGCCTTCTGTAGGAATTATACCTTAATGTAAAGAAAACAAAAATCCTCACAACTGGACCAGTAAATAACGTCATGGTAAATGAAGAAAAGATTGAACTTGAAGTCTTCAACTATTTCATTTTACTTGAATTCACAATCAAAACTCATGGAAGCCGCAGTCAAGAAACCAAAGGATGTATTTCATTAGGCAAATCTGCTG